TAAAAATACAAAACCATCATTCGTCCATTCTAGAGCGGCTTTGCGACTGTCGTTATAAACATGTGAAACCGACTTCCGGCAATGTCTGTGATGTTTACAAACCATTTGCGTTTATCTTCGAGTTATAAGTGTGAATAATGAAAAATAAAACACGAAAAAAAGGTGTGCGTTTTGCATAATGCTTAGGTGACGCGGTTTTTCGCATGCTCCGTTCTCGATGATCAATCGCAGCGCCGCGATGGCGCGCGATCGCGATCGCGCACTTAAAAACCAACAAGTGATCAGGGAGTGTCATATTAGAGGATGTCCACATCCCCTTTCCTCACCACATCCATCAGACTCATTCTCCATTTAAATCTATAATATGACGCTCCTGATATTATGCTGGCCTAAAAAAAGAATCGCAATCAACAAATATAATAAAACGATTACTAAATTAATAGACGTAGCATTAATGAAGCATAGTCCATTGATGACATGAAAATACGATCCAAGATGCTAAAAATATGCGTTTAAAAAACAACAACGCAGGAATACAGATTTTGAGGAGGGATACAAGGCAGGATACAAAATTTGGAGAATCGAAAAAGAAATCACGAATCGGTAAAGCAGGTCATTTCACATCTAGTTCCAAAGGTCATCTCAGAAAATGTGCCAAAGTGCAGGAAGAGGTTAGGGTTTAGGTTAGGTTAGGGTTAGGGTAGGGTTTTTTTTTTTTTTTAAGTGCCTAGTAGTCATAACCTAAGTGCCTAGTAGTCATACAATATCGCATCTAACTGCCGGGTGCCCAGTATCGTATCGTATCGGATCGTATGTTGTCTGGTGAAGGTGCGAGGATATTCTGGGAATATATACTTTCATCTCATCATTTTCATTCATTGATTTGTACCTCCAGCATTTATTTTTGCTAATCTTATTCTTTGATCACTATATTTTAATAATTTCCTAATGAGCGCTGCGCTCAATCGTCAGCAGAGATTGTGTGCCAGAGCATGCTGTACTTTGCCTATCCATGAACATCTTGTCTCAGATAAACTCACGTGCTAAATTTTCTAAGCTTCAACCTCCATGCTACTGACCCTGATACCACACTAGTCATACTATTCGAATCGTACCACACAACTTTTGGCTGTATATTCCTCACATCGAGTTTTATCACGCAAGGTAGCTCTAGTACTATAGCCGCTTACATTAACTGGCAGCTGCCAGCGGCAGTTAATGTAAGCGGCTATAGTACTAGAGCTACACGCAAGGAAACGAAACTCTACCACGTGTAAACCATGCATATATATATTGCCACTGACCTAATGCTTAAAAAAAAAATTAAACCTACAACCTGCAAAAGAATATTCAATATATACAAAAATCCAATAAAAGCAATATTTTAACAACTAACATCACAGAGATATTTAATGGGTATTCTTTTCACGAATATATAGGCCCCAAGATAAAATACACAAAATATAGGCATATTCCAATGAAATTCATAGCTAGTGTTGTACGTGGGCTTTTATAATTATCTCTATAGACACTAAACTAAGCAAATCAGTTTCTGCTCATCACACGGTCCAAAATACCCGGATGTTTATTATCACCGTATAGAGTTTTATATTATATATATGTTTAAGAATAGTGCGTAAATAAAAGATTGCAGTAAGTAAAACATAATTAATGCACTGACTATAAGCCTACACTATACATGCCTCCTCTACTTGCATTAAAAATCAAATTTGTTTGCATCGACTTTAAACTCATTAGCTTGCGTAAACACGACACGCGTGAATCCTTGATACATGTAAATCTGTACCGGTACAGCCCTACATTATACATCTAGGTCTGTGTATCACTATTTGATTATCACTATCCTAAAGCCCATTTTTTAAGTGTCATTTTACTCACGTGTGCGGCGGATTTTCGTTGAGTAATTTGACGCATGCGTCATTTTACTCACGTGTGCGGCGGATTTTCGTTGAGTAATTTGACGCATGCGTCATTTTACTCAATATCAAATGTGTTTGATAATTTTTTACTCATGCGTCATTTTACTAAACGTGTGCGCGCGCTGAGTAAATTTACGATTTTTGCACAGGGGAGAGATTCCACAGTGCAATGGCGGCCGAAAATGACGTTAATTTTTCTAATAAGGTTTTCTAAAAAAAAATTCTAATTATTTTTTAGAGTTAGGGTTAGGTTTAGGGTTAGGGTTAGGGTTAGGGTTAGGGTCACAATGCACCTTAAAACAGGAGTTTGAGAGTTTGAGTCCGTACGGACGTGACGTCATTGAGCGACGATTCTGGCCACCATTGCTGTGTGGAATCTCTCCCCTGTGTCGTACTCTAAAGGCGTTTTTATCTAAGCGAAAGCGCTTTACGGTTTCGCAAATCTTACATTTATCTGGACGGTTTCGTGAAAGCGCTTTGGTCGTTTCTCGTATTTATCTAGACGGTTTGCGAAAGTGCTTTGCGAAACCGTCGAAATCGCCCAGCGAGCGATTTCAGAC